TCCACTTCTTGTTTTGGGTGACTCTCTTAATCTGGATCACATAAACATGTGTACTTGCCTGCCCCATGTTTTGGGTGAAAAATTGAGCTGTATAACAATAAGGAAAAAAAACATTCTGAAAAACTGTATTTAGACACCCCCCCCACACGAACCCGCAAGACCCCAGTCCCATCCTGGGCCCAGGCATCCTGGCTCCCAACCTCATGAACCCACAAGACCCCACTCCGGACGCAGGCATCCTGGCTCCCGGAGGGCTCTGTTCATACAGGGGCCCGTACCCAGGAGAGTAGCTCCCAGGCGCAGGAATAATATGCAAAAACCATAGTAATTAATAACGGGGGAGGAACAGCCAATGAGGCCAGGCCCTGCCCCAGCTCGCCGGGTGGCAAAGGGGCCCTCCATGGCATGCGCCTACAAGCAGTGAACATGCATGCACCCCGCGCACCCACTGCTCCTGCTGTGCATGCATCTCACATGCGTGTGCACCCGCACACACACATCCCCTGCCAGGATATGCTGCTACATGCGTGCAGACAGCTCCCTGCTGCACTCGCCCCCCCTGCCGGGTATGCACACAGCCCCCGCCGCCCCCACGCGCCCATCAATACTGCAGCCGCCACAGGGCTGGCTGTGAGCGGGGGGCATGTGACTGCTGCTGCGGCTGCTTTGGTAGTGGTGATCGATCCCAGGAGGGGGCTGGGAGCCCATGGCTGGGCCCGTGGCTCCTAGGGGTGGCACGGGTGGGAAGGAGCTGGCTGAGTTTGGGGAATGGGAACGGGCACGGCGCTGAGCCCTGCTCTTTGTCTCCCCACTGCAGTGGCACCGACGCGGTTCACGGAGGAGCCTGAGGACCAGACGGTGGTGGCCGGGCAGCGCATCGTCCTGTCCTGCGTCGTGCTGAATTACTCCGGCATCGTGCAATGGACCAAAGACGGCCTGGCCCTGGGCATGGGGCAGGGCCTCAAAGGTAGCTCGGTGTGTCCCCCCCATCCCAGCCCCTCTCTGCGGGTCCGGCCCCTGCCCAGCCTGATGGAGAGAGAGACAGGGACTGACCACCTGCCCTCTCCCCCTTGCGGCTGCAGCGTGGCCACGGTACCGGATCATCGGCACGGCCGACTCGGGACAGTACAACCTGGAGATCACGGACGCGGAGCTCTCCGACGACGCGCTGTACGAGTGCCAGGCCACCGAGGCGGCTCTGCGCTCCCGCCAGGCCAAGCTGACAGTGCTGAGTAAGGGGCCACGCTCCCCTGCCCTCCTTCCCCTCTCCCCCTGCCCCCTTGTGCAATGAGCCCCATCCCTTTGGGGGGCCGGGGTTGCCAGCTGCACTGTGGGGCATCCGGGCATCACCCGCACTGCAACACCCCCAGGCCTCAGTGGCCACAAGGTGCCCGGGACTAGGAGGTTTAGGGCCCGGGGTGGCGGGGCAGTGTTGGTCCTGGGTCCCCTGCAGCAGCACAGAGCTCCAAGCCCACCTCTCACCCCAGCCGCACTCCGGCCCCCTGCCCCAAATCCCCCCTCCTCGCTAGGTTTGTGCCAGCCGCGTCCTGGCAAAGACAGTCGTGCTCGGGAGGGATGAAGCCCCTGCTACCCCAGCAGGCTGGAGCATCATCCTGCCTGAGGCTGGGGAGCACCAGGGCCAAAGCAGCTGTCCGGGAGGGGGATCCAAGCTCTGGGCAACATGCTTCCCTCAGCCCCGTCTTCCTGCCGTGCTTGGGGCTGCACATACGTCGCAGGGGTGGGTCTGGTGGAGGCCCCAGGTGGGGAGTTCAAGGGCACCCACGTGCTCCCCACTCTGTCCTCCAAGTCCCCCCTGAAGACCCTGTGATCGACGGAGCCCCCAAGATCCTGCTGCGGGCAGGGACGCCCCACAACCTCACCTGCCGGGCACGCAGCGCCAAGCCGGCCGCCACCATCATCTGGCTGCGAGATGGGCAGCAACAGGAGGGGGCTGTCACCACCACGGTATGAGCCCGGGGGCAGGGGGGTATGAGGCACCAAGGCAGGACTCCTGGGTCCTGTGCACAGCTCTGGCAAGGCGTGGGGTCTAGAGATAGCAGCAAGGCTCCTGGGTTCTTCTCCCCGCCTTGGGACAGGGTGGGAGCACAGCCTTGGAGCCACGGCAGAGGTTTCATGTCCCTGCCTCTGCCACCAGTATGCCAGGTGGCCTTGGTCATGTCCCTCTCACATCCTCATGAGTGGAGCAGTGGTGACAGCAAATCCTGCAGACCCCAGGGTTGTGGGGGCTGATCGGATTTTATTTCCACCCCACGCTGCAGGAGGTGCTACCGGACGGCAAGAGAGAAACCACCACCAGCTTGCTCCTCATCAACCCCACTGACGTGGACATCGGGAGGGTCTTCTCCTGCCGCAGCGTGAACGAAGCCATCCCGGCCGGCAAGGAAACATCCATCCAGCTCGACGTTCACCGTGAGTCCAGGCCGCCCCCTGTAAAGCGTCCAGACCCCTGCCACCCTGCACCTCTTCCCCCAGCTGGGATCAGGGAGGGGACACGGGGGTGTTGTCTGCACCTAGCCAGAAATCATGGGGATGGACAGATGGTCACGTAGGGGGACAGTTCTGGAGGTCCCCGGGTTTTCCAGCCTGTGTCCCGCCCTTGGCATGGATAGTGATGGTTTCCAGGCCAGGTCCGGGGCATCCCCATCCCCCTCCCTGCCTGGGCCCGGCTACCCCTCAGTGGGGAGAGGAGACCCCCAGGCAGGGTCTTGGAGGGAGCCCCCCCACCCCATTGGCAGAGGCTGGCTGGCCTCTGCAGACCAACACCGCCACCCCGTGGCCACCACGGAGAATCACTGCTCGGTGGCAAGGATGCCAAGAGGTAGCCTCATCCTCCAGCCCATCCGCCTGCTGGCTTGGCAGGCCGGGAGTAGGCTCACCCAGGGACCCCAGTCTTAGGACCAAGGGGGTCTCTGCAGGCATCTGCCTTTGTGCCCAGATGGGAGATCCCAGCCCAGCACCTCTGCTAGGCAATGGAAGAGGGTCTGGGGCCCCCACGCCAGCCTTCGGTGCCCGCACGGGGCTCTTTCCACCCCTCCACGCCCGTGACAGCCGTGCCGCTGTGTCCGTCTCCCCCCGGCAGATCCACCCACCGTCACCCTCTCCATCCAACCCCAGACGGTGCGGGAAGAGGAGCGGGTCGTCTTCACTTGCATGGCCACCGCCAACCCTGAGATCAAGGGCTACAGGTGAGATGCTCGCAGCCAGCAGGGACGGGGCTAGAGCCGGCAAGCCCTAGGTTAAACCCCACCCCCCACAACCCCTTGCTTCTTCCCCCAGTCTTGTCCGGCTGCAAACAGGTGTTGCATGTATCCTGGGGTAAACTAGCATATCCCAGGACAGACGTCCGTGTCCGTGTCCGTTGCCTTGGGTTTCATGCAAAAAAAAAGCCTTTCTGGAGAAGATGTCATGGCAGCTTATCCCAGGATAATGCCAAGTGTGTCTGTACTGTTATCCCAGGATTGTGTCATTCAATCACCAGCGCAGTCAGCCCTGACTGACGGGGCGATGGCACCAATCCCGGGTTGTTTTGGTCTGGGGACAAACCCAGGCGCAGGTTATCCCTGGATAAATGCGACGTCTGTTTCTGGCCTGATGGGGCTGCCTCCTCACTTGCCAGGTGGGCCAAGGGTGGGCTGCTGATCGAGGACGCCACGGACAGCCGGTACGAGACACAGGTGGACTACACCTTCTTCACAGAGCCCGTCTCGTGTGAGGTGCACAACAACGTGGGCAGCACCAATGTCAGCACCTTGGTGGACGTGCACTGTGAGTGCCACGGCTGGGGCAGGTTGGGGGTGGCAGGGGCAGTTGGCATGGCCCCGTCAGGCTCACCGTGGCCACCCACTTACAGTTGCCCCCCGCATCGTGGTGGAGCCCAAGCCCACAACCACCGACCTGGGCTCGGACGTGACGCTGACCTGTGTGTGGGCTGGCAACCCCCCGCTTACCCTCACCTGGACCAAGAAGGGCTCCAACATGGTGAGGTCCTTGCCCCACCCCGCTCCTGCCCCTGCCCCCTGCGGGACCCCCCTCAGGGCCATGGGACTGATGCTGGCCCTACGCCCGCACCAGGTGCTGAGCAACAGCAACCAGCTGTACCTGAAGGCAGTGACGCAGGATGAGGCGGGGCAGTACGTCTGCAAGGCCATCGTGCCCCGCATCGGCGTGGGCGAGCGTGAGGTCACCCTCTACGTCAACGGTACGGCTGGCCCGGCCCCTTGGCCACCAGGGGTACACGGGGCCCTGGCAGTGCTGCCTGGGGCTGGGCATGGGACCCCGGTACTGATACTCAGGGTACAGTGCCCCAGTATTGATGCCCAGGGCATGGTACCCCAGTACTGATGCCCAGAGCTCAGAGTACAGTACCCCAGTCCTGACACCCAGGCGTGATACCCCAGTACTCAAGGCACAGTATCCTAGGGGTCAAGGGTGAGGATACCCAGGGCTCAAGGCATGGTGTCCTAATGCTAATGCCCATGACTCAGGGCTTAGGGCCCACTACTCATACCCATGGCATGGTACCCAGGGGGCAGGACCCCTGTGTCAGCAGCCTGGCCTGGGCACCCACCGTAATAGTGCTCATGGCCTATCATCCCCATGGCTGAGGGCTCCTGACTGTATCCCCTCATCGCCCCCTTATCCGGCCCCACACCTTGATGCCCGTGTCCCAGGCGCTCTGCGGGTGCACATGCCACAAGCCCCTGGCCCTGAGCCCAGGGCTCCTGGCAGCCTGGACCCCACTGCAAAGCCCCCCGCGCTGAGCTGTGCTCCGTCCCCCCACAGGACCCCCCATCATCTCCAGCGAGGCTGTGCAGTACGCGGTGCGTGGCGACCGCGGCAAGGTGGAGTGCTTCATCGGCAGCACACCACCCCCCGACCGCATCGTGAGTCACTCCGAGTCCGTCTGTCCGCCCCACAGGCTCCCTCCATCCATCCTGCCCCGTCGGTCCTTCCTGTGGACCCCAACCCGCAGCCGGGGCAGGAGCTGGAAGTCGTGCAGAGAAGGGGAGGCAGTGAGATCCCCCCTGGACACTGGGGTCCTACTGGGGTGCTGGGGGGTGTAGAGGCCCCAGGTCCCCTCCCATGCTGATGGGCCTGTCTCCCCATGCCTGCCAGGCCTGGGCATGGAAGGAGAACATCCTGGAGACGGGCACACTGGAGCGGTACACAGTGGAGCGCAGCGCCACAGGCACCGGGGTCCTGTCCACACTCACCATCAACAACGTGATGGAGGCCGACTTCCAGACCAGCTACAACTGCACTGCCTGGAACGGCTTCGGACCCGGCACCGCCATCATCCGCCTCGAGGAGCGGGGTACGGGGCCTGGGCACTGGGGTTTGCACATGGGTGCAGCAGGGAAGAGGGTTGGGGGCAGCTTTAGGAGCCAGGACTCCTGAGTTCTCTCCCGAGCTCCAGGAGGGGTGGGAGAGGGTGTGCTGGGTGCGAGGGGGTGGACATCAGGTCTCCTGTCCCAGCTCTGGAAGGGGAGAGAGGTCTAGTGGTGAGAGCTTGGAGGGGAGGGATGGATCCAGGACCCCTGGTTCCATTCTGAATAAGACACAGGGGCCCAGGAAGCCCTTGGCTCTTGGTCCCGTGCCCTCGAGACCCCTGGGCCCTGCCTCAGCTCACCCCATCTACCCACTCCCCACAGAAGTGCTGCCTGTGGGAATCATCGCCGGAGCCACCATCGGGGCCGGCATCCTCGTCATCATCTTCCTCGTCGCCCTCGTCTGCTTCCTCTACCGGCGCCGCAAAGGGAGTGAGTTGGGGAGCAG